GGGGCTCAAAGACAGAATCTATATTTTGGAATCAAATTTATTTCTAAACCAATGAATTCTTTCTCATATTAGAAAAACCCTGAAAAAGAGGAAATCTGTAAATTCCCAGTGTAGTACATGAGTGTCATAACTCCTAATTCATAATGGGATCTAATAATAAATTAAATGTAGATTGTTACTTGGGTTTTCTCTTCTACCTTCCCACTCTCCAACTCCAGGTCTTCCTTGTGGGGAGTGAACAAGGAATCCATGAAAAGTAGAGAACTGCATGAAATATTCAGGGATGAAACTTCAATGACACATACATATTATGCCCTAGGTATTACCCATTTCAGACTTTTTCCAGTTTATTTTTGCTTTGAATCTAAAATTAATTCTCTTGTTCCCATGTGTGCAGACAGAAAAAGAAACAGAAAAGTGAGGCAGTAATTCAGAAAACTAAAGCAAAATAAGGAAATGCCTCTAAAATAAAATTTAGGAATAACTCAGGTTTATTTGGTCTGTTTTTGTTTTTTTTTTTAATCCACCAGGTTATTTCTCAGTTTTCTATTCTTTTGCAAACAACACCTAACGTGCAATAACCTCTACATGTTTTCTTCAACTGGAACATGAAGCCAACTAATATGTTTAAACTCTGTAAAGTCTGTTTCTCCACATTCTGGCCCTCTGTTCCTTTTTGCCTGTGTAAAATCTCTACTATGATATCCTGTCACCAGGAACAAAGCTGCATATATGGCATTTTCATCCAAATCACTTCACCTTCCAAATTTCTCTAATTCTAGGTTCCTCTAGTCAATCTAGGCTTGTTTCCCATCAATCCTCCCTCTTCTTACTGATCCATACTCAAGACAGGAGATTCAGGTAAGTCTACCTATGAAACAGCTCTTGATTTATCCCATTTCTAGTTTCACTGTAACTAACATAGTTCAGGCCCTCATCACCTGGTAGCTTCCTGCTTGGTCTCCTGACTCCGATGTCCAATCCAGTTTATGAAACACTGCCAGATAGCATAGCATGAGTTCTCTTTGCCTAGTAAATTAAAATCTAATACCTTAGACCGGGATTCCAATACCAACCATCCACTAACACTTCTGCATTAAAGACCTGCTCTTCTGGAAGATTCTCACTTCTAAACACCTGAATTGTTCTTTCCCTTACTTCTTCCTATCAGGAAAATCCTACCAGTTCAAGGCTACATTTTGGCATATAAGTTAGAATAGCAGTTACACCTTCTTTGACTGGGAAGGGGCAGAAGGGAACTCTCTACAATTCTGGAAGTCTTTTTTATTTTTATCTGAGTGGGAATTACAAGGATATGTGTTTGTATGTGCACATGGATAGATATATAGGTACAAGTATATGTAAAGATATGTTGCATTGTATACTAAAAACTTGTATGCTTTACTGTGTGTGAAAAAAAAAAAAATACTGTCTTTCATGAAGCCTCTGATGGGGATCAGGACATGATAGCCCAAAATATGGTACCTCGGTATTTGAGAAAACAGCGGAAGCAGAAAGGTCACTCTCACCTCCCCCAACCTCCCAACCCACTCCCCTCCCCTGAAGCAAGTAATAAAACCTAGGAAGGATTTTCTGACCTTCCCCTAATGCAACTTATAAGACCCTCATTCAAGAGGTGCCTTCCCTACACCCAGAAGAAAGGAAAATTCTTATCTCTGAAGACAAAGGGTCACAGAGAAGAATCTGAACAAACAGGCCTTGCTAAGTTCCCCCCAGTTTATCATCATTAGATCATACTTTTTTATCCAATTATACTTCTCCACAACTCTCCACTTCTACATCATAGCTAGCGTAAAAATATACAGGTTTACCCATTGCGTCAGGTCTTCACTTCCTTATGAAGGTTACTGTGTCATGTAAAAACTTAATAAATTTGTATGCTTTTCTCTTGTTAATCTGCCATTATAGGGACCTTAGCCATGAATCTACTGATGGGTAAGAAAAAGATATATTTCCTCCTCTACACCTCAGATCCACTAAAACAAATGAGACAGTTCATGTCTCTGAATCCCGTAGCCCTTTGTCTATGATACATTTTGCCCTAAGTTTATAAACTGAAGCAGGAAAGTGCATCAGAATCTCCCAGAGCTTAAAAAAATAGAGACATGCCCTATTTACTGGTGAAATGACATAATGTCTGGGATTTGCTTTAATACATTTCAGCAAGGGTGA